TATTGTTAAACATTTATTGTAATCATCTCGACTGGACCTTGGATTTTTAAGTACGCGTCACGTTCTTCCTTCCGGATCAGGGAATAAACGACGAGAGGGTGAGCATTCGTTTGATATAAGAGATTTGATTGATTAAAAAGCCTATAGCCTATAGCCTAAAACAAACGCTGATCATCATATTGGTGACTGCTTGTCACCAATTCTGCTTGTTAACATCAGGTGTCTTCAATAACGCTCAATCATCACTCAATTAATCACTTAATTATCTCATTGACTTTAAGGCCTGTTTACACGAGAACGCTCGCGGGTGAAAACGTAAAAACATTTTATCGGATGTGCCACGGCAACGGCGTTTTTGAGGCTTAGGCCATGTCCACACTAATACGTTTTCGTTTGAAAACGTATATTTTTCTCTCCGTTTTGGCCTTCCGTCCACACTGAAAACGTAAAAACGTATCGTTTGGAAAACACTCTCCAAAGTGGATAAATTTGAAAACGCCGTTTTCGCGTTGTAGTGTGGACAGTGAAACCGGAGGCATTTCAAAACGATGACGTAAGTTTAGTCATGTGATCCATGCCCAGATAGCAAACTGACATTGAATCAACGTGGAAATATGACATCGAAACAACGTTGATCTGACATTGTTTTGCTCATCGAATTAACGTTGAACCAACGTCAGACGCGTCATTCTTTCAAAACTAACGGAAAATCAACTTGAAATCAACGCGTTGTTTCAACGTTATGAAAGCAAACCAATTTTCGATTTTCATTTAGCTTTGAAGAATGCCGCGTCTGACGTTGGTTCAACGTTAATTCGATGAGCAAAATCAACGTTGTTTCAATGTCATGAGAGACGTCGTTTCCACGTTGATTCAATGTCAGTTTGCTGTCTGGGACGGCAACGGCGTTTTTGAGGCTTAGGCCATGTCCACACTAATACGTTTTCGTTTGAAAACGTATATTTTTCTCTCCGTTTTGGCCGTCCGTCCACACTGAGACGCCGTTTTAAGTCACCAAAAACGTATCGTTTGGAAAACGCTCTTCAAAGTGGCTAAATTTGAAAACGCCGTTTTCGCGTTGTAGTGTGGACAGTGAAACCGGAGGCATTTCAAAACGATGACGTAAGTTTAGTCATGTGATGCATGTAGTACCAATATTCATGTTTATCAGTATTGTGCCTGTTATGTGTTATTCATTTTTACACTGTTGCTAAAATATGTTACTTTCTATCCCAGACAGCAAACTACGGAAGCCCTGAACCGCAACCTAAAAAAAAAAAGTCAGTAAAAAAAAAAAATCTTAAAAAAAAAAAAATCTGTAAAAAAAAAAATCTGTAAAAAAAAAAAAAAAAAAAAATCTAGCATTTCGAGATTAAAGTCGAAATGTTTCGAGATTAAAGTCGAAATGTTTCGAGATTAAAGTCGAAATGTTTCGAGATTAAAGTCGGAATGTTTCGAGATTAAAGTCGAAATGTTTCGAGATTAAAGTCGAAACATTGTGCATTCATAACAGTGCGCGTCCACTGGCTCAGAGCGCGCGCGTGTGTGTGAAGTTGAACTGCCATGGATAAACCCCAAATAGTAGCTTTTCGGTCTCCTTTGATGAAACAAAACACACACACACACACACAGTGTGTGAAACTCGCTATTGGCCATTATGAATGCCTGTGTGTGCGGCAATGTGAGACAATGGAAAGCACACACGCGCAGCTTCTACGCGATAGCGAGTTTCACACTGTGTATGTGTGTGTGTTTTGTTTCATCAAAGGAAATTCAACAGGTGCCAATCTACCAGCATTAGGCTACCATTATAGGACGTTATAAAATATACTGCGCCGGAATAGACTTTAGCCTATAGGAAAACCAACACGGAAAACACTTTTCAGACTGGATGGAGAAATCCAGCTTTACGAATGAATGAATGAATGAATGAATGAATGAATGAATGAATGAATGAATGAATGAATGAATAGGGCATTTATAGCGCTTTCATATATGCCTACACTCAAAGTGCTTTACAATCATATCACAGAATCTCTCCTCAACCATAAGTGGTTATTAAATCTTAGGAAATCACAGGATCCGGCCAAATGATTGGATACAGAATGATGCACTTAAAATGTATCCAGAGCGTATTTACGGGGAAGAGGAGACCGAACAGTTACTGTTGTGTTCTCGACCCAGATAGTGTTGACTAGACGAGCACGAAAACACCTCAGTAGCACGTGTGACGTGTGTAGAATTTTGTTGAAAGCCCAGATAAAAGTAAAAAGCTACTATTTTGTGTTTATCCATGGCAGTTCGACTTCACACACACGCGCGCGCTCTGAGCCAGTGGACGCGCACTGCACAATGTTTCGACTTTAATCTCGAAACATTTCGACTTTAATCTCGAAACATTTCGACTTTAATCTCGAAACATTCCGACTTTAATCTCGAAACATTTCGACTTTAATCTCGAAACATTTCGACTTTAATCTCGAAACATTTCGACTTTAATCTCGAAATGCTAGATTTTTTTTTTTTTTTTTACAGATTTTTTTTTTTTTACAGATTTTTTTTTTTTACAGATTTTTTTTTTTTTTTAAGATTTTTTTTTTTACTGACTTTTTTTTTTTTTTTTTAGGTTGCGGTTCAGGGCTTCCGTAGCAAACTGACATTGAATCAACGTGGAAACGACGTCTCTCATGACATTGAAACAAAATTGATTTGCTCATCGAATTAACGTTGAACCAACGTCAGACGCGGCATTCTTCAAAGCTAAATGAAAATCGAAAATTGGTTTGCTTTCATAACGTTGAAACAACGCGTTGATTTCAAGTTTATTTTCCGTTAGTTTTGAAAGAATGACGCGTCTGACGTTGGTTCAACGTTAATTCGATGAGCAAAACAATGTCAGATCAACGTTGTTTCGATGTCATATTTCCACGTTGATTCAATGTCAGTTTGCTATCTGGGCAGAAACCGCCTGAAAACACTAGCGTGGACGGAGAGCGTTTTTAAACGAAAACCCCGTTTTCAAATTTATCCGGATTAATGTGAACGAAACGCAAAAAAGTGAAACCACCCTCCAGAGTGGAAATCTTTAAAACGCTCCACCGCCGTGTAAACAGTAAAAACGCAAAAGTCTGCTTGACGGTGAAGGTTGTACACAGGCGCGCGGGCTTGGTGTTGTTGTAGTATGCACTCCTAGCCGCCTGAAGTGCATACTACATTGAATTTCACACACTAACGCGTCTCCGTTTGCACGCGGATTTCCCCACACAAAACGCTCGTCTAAACGCAGAATAAAAAAAGATTGACGCAACGCCACTTTTCCGTTTTCTCTTCAGAATCGTTTCCGTGTAAACATAGCCTAACGCTGCTTCAGTAACCCAGTTATGTGCAGCCTGTTGACATAAAAAAGTTATTTAAAGCCAACATATCAGAACCTGTTGACAAAGTAAATTTACAGAATCTGTTGACATAAAAAAGTTAATCAAAGCCAACATATAATTTTTTTGAGTGCATAAAAATGCCAGAAGGACAGAAAATAACTTCTTATCATGCAAGAGAAGCGTTAACATCTGTGAGTGTGACTTCTGCACTTCCTCTGGAAAAACCCAAAGCAGCCGAAAGAGGAAGGATGTCTGGTGGTTTAGATATAGGCTACCTCAGCAAAAGCATGCTCAAGTGTGTTCATTTTTTGGTTTGCATCGCTAGAGCGAGTTCTCTCTAGATCTTTCTTTATTTGCTCAAAACTGCTGTTATTTTCTAACCTGATGATTTAAAACTAATTTTAACTTGCTTACTCGAACTGCTTAGAAGTGAGTTACTCGTTGTCCATCCGTTCTCCAGGACCGCCCTGGGAAGGGACTCGCTGAACAATCATAACCTGTAGCCTTTTCATATTTTGCTAAAAGTAGCCTATATTTCTCTTTTATTTTATTTTAAGACACGTATTTTTCCCGTCTTCCTTCAGCTCTACAACGAACGTTCAAAGCAACATTAGATTTGTACTTCTTCACTGACCGAGACAAAAGGGATCCAGGAAGCTTTCAGCAGAGGGTAAGCTCAATGACTCAATGATTGTTAACGATTTAACTGCTGTAACAAACTAGCTAGTGTACACTCTTCTATATATGTAGCATAGGGTTCTTTACTCAACTCCAAAGGACATTTATGCTAAAAAAAAGGTTCAATAATGACAAGAAACAACACTTATGGCACAAAGGTTCTTTAAAGGCTATTTCCCATTCATATATTACATTATTCTGCAACATTTTGTAGTTGTACTTAAATTATTATTTATTAAACAAATTTTGTGATCATTCACATGCATTGCATTTTAGGGGTTCCAACTACACAGCGCTTTAGAACCTTTTAAGGTTCTATATAGAACCTTTTCTTCTAAGAGTGTAGTAAACCTGACCGCATAAAGCCACCTAACTAAGGGTTATTCATGCAATGAGGTAAATGCCAGATTATAATTAATTTAATCATTTAATAAGTAGAAACCGATTAAACAATAACTATCTGACAAAAAAAAACAAAAAACTATTTGAACGCTCTAAACCGTGTCTCCAAATTGCAAGGAGGAACTCGCTAGGCACGGTTACTTCCGTATTAACCATAAAACCAACGTGAAATATTTTACTATTGTAATATTTTACTATTGCATTGAACAGATACAGAAAATATTTTCAAGGTTTGATATCACAACATTTTTTCTTTTGTCAAATCAACTTTATATTTAGTTGAGATAACTTATTATTTTGAGTTTCTGAGGATTAAATCAATCTCCTTCATTGTATTAACTCACTTTTTCCAGTTCAATCAACTTAAAATTTTAAGGCGACCCAGGTTACTTACTTTTTTAAGTTAAACCAACAATATTTTTTTTACAGTGTAGTAATCACAACATTTTTTTCTTTTGTCAAATCAACTTAAATAATTTATTTACTTCAGATAGCATAATTTTGAGTTTCTGATTATTAAATCATTCTCCTTCATTGTATTAACTCACTTTTTCCAGTTCAATGAACTTAAAATTAAGGCTTAAGTTAAGTTAAATCAACATTTTTTACAGTGTAGATAAATTAACCAACATTACTCCCATAACGAAATAGGCGACAGAACGAAGCAGAGAGAGTAGAAGAGAAAGAACTCATCGTACTATGGATAAATCCAACTCGGCTGGACTAGGACCTCTGGTCAGGGCTTTAGATGGGACGGGTCGGGGAGCGACAGGGCGAGACTGTGGTGATCGGGTTAGAAGTCAGGCCAATGAACGTCGAGGCAGCTCGCATAAAAGGGGAAATAACACCCTAGGAGGTAAACCATTTCTAGCCTACGCTAATCATGTGTTTGCTCCTCTGAATGGAGAACGAGCCCCACGAGGGGCGACCGGGCACAAGATACTGCAGCTCGCGTGTGGGCCCACGCCTGACGACATCCTGAGTCTGCCGGGAAACAGCACAGAAGATATGATTGACATGTTAGCAGATCAGCTAGAACACATGCAGAACGCCCTGTGCTATGTGCTATTAGATGACAATACAACAGATGAGTGTGAACCAACGAGGGCGGAAGTGTGGAAACTGCGGGAGGCCACTTATCGAAAGGCTCCACGAAAACAGCAGAAAGCTGCGCCACTTAAAATAAAAAAGAAAACATGGACTTTATATTCTCTCTCCAGCTCAGAAAGCTCAGACTCGGACAGGGAGGACGACAGGAGGCGCGCTTTAAAGCTCTTGTCAGATAAACCACAAATAGATTTATCACTCGTCGCGGCTACGTCCAGAGAGCGTAGGAGAGAGTCTGACTCAGAGGAGGAAGCTTCTGTCTCTACACCCCGGCGAGGTTCAGCTACAGACAGTTTCACTGCCGCATATCTCCTGCAGATCATGACATTCCCAGAGGCTAAAGATAACACCAGGCTTAAGGCGAAAATGATAGCCGATTTCGGGAAAACCCTAGGGGCATCAACTACCCTAGTAGAGCTAATGATAAAATATCATACAGGAATATCCATAAGACTTGAAATCCTTAATGCATACCACTCTCTCGTGATAGGCGTCGACAACGAAGCGAAGCTCGGAAAGGACTTAGAACTGATAAAAACCATAGGCCTTTGGCCATACCTCGCAGAGAAAGCCACCCGAGGGTGGACAAGTGCAAAGATGATAGACAAACTAAAAAAGCTAGCTCCAAAACTACCTGGATGTCATGAGATCGCCTCTTGGGGCGAAGAAACAAACTGGTCGGAAATCTCTAAATTCGCAGCCCGATATGACAGGAACACTGTGAGAATAATTGAGCCCAGAAATGAGAGTAAAAGGGGAACTGGGTATATAAAGCCTGAGGAATGGGCCAAACTGAGTAAAGAGGAGAAACAAGCCCACGTGGAGAAACGTAAACAAAACCGCTAGAGAAAACGAGAAATAATGAAGTGTAACCCCAGGAGAAGCGACTATTGCATCTGTCATATGTTCAATATGAAGGAATAAACTGTTAGACACCAGCGCAGACGTAAACCAAAGTACTATGGCGAGCTATAAAACTGGAAATATCGTGTTTATGGTTTTAATAATGAAATGAAACGGTCACCAGAGATGGATCTGACGAGGATACTTGCATAATAGATAGCTCCAAATTTATGTTTTTAATGATCATAAGAATAATAGTTTGTCATTGCAGTGATACAACGAAAATACATTAGGGCATCAGTCGCATCATTCATGAGGTATAAGAGATCAACAAGAGCATATTAGGCGTACGAGGCGGAGAATCACTAGTAAATAGGAGAAGTGTGTGTGTACTGTGATAATGTTCACAGTTTTAAAAGATGCAACCTTGGCAGAGAAATGGCTAAAAAAAGATCTTATAATAAAATAAAATCAGATGAAAACAGTCGACCTGGGGGAACAGGTGGATAGAATAGGCAAAGATTTAAGAAAAGTTCTCGAAAAATATAAAGACAATTCGGCCAAAAAGTAAAAATAAATAAGACTACAGAGTGGAATCTGGGCTTGGGGGATATTTGATATACAGACATCCAAGGAAAGTGCTTTGCAAGAGTCAAACATCTTGAAGCCCAACTTGGATGCAAAGTGAGGGTCGTTTATTCTGTACGTTTAAAGAGTTAATCGACATAGAGGCGGCAGGATGATGACGTTAGTGCTATAACTCCGCCGGCACCACTAATGATGATGAGCCAACATCAAATAATCAAACAGTCAGCTTTTTCCTCACTCGTTAAAAACGAAGCAGAATCAGGTGATTTATTGGATCCTGACTGTTGATGAGTTCCTGGAAGGCTAAAGCTGTTTAATGGGTTTTTGCTAACGTTAAAGAGTTAGCTGTCTCTGTTTGGGAAACAATTTTTACGTTAACATAATTCTGATTAGTTTGAACGTTATCATTGTAGTAATTGTTACTAGTAATGATAATTAAATCATCTGAGTTATGCATCGTCTGCAAAAACCACGAAACTCAGAGTCAGAGACGGAGGTCTGATCAAAACAAACTGATCAAAACAAACTGATCAAAACAAACTGATCAAAACAAACTGATCCAGACTAAGTGATCCAGACTAACTGATCAAAACAAACTGATCAAAACAAACTGATCAAAACGAACTGATCAAAACAAACTGATCCAGACTAAGTGATCCAGACTAACTGATCAAAAAACTGATCAAAACAAACTGATCAAAACGAAACTGATCCAGACTAAGTGATCCAGACTAAGTGATCCAGACTAACTGATCAAAAACAAACTGATCAAAACGAACTGATCAAAACAAACTGATCCAGACTAAGTGATCCAGACTAACTGATCAAACAAACTGATCAAAACAAACTGATCAAAACAAACTGATCAAAACAAACTGATCCAGACTAAGTGATCCAGACTAAGTGATCCAGACTAAAGTGATCAAGACTAGCTGATCCAGACTAACTGATCAAAACAAACTGATCAAAACAAACTGATCAAAAACGAACTGATCAAAACAAACTGATCCAGACTAAGTGATCCAGACTAACTGATCAAAACAAACTGATCAAAACAAACTGATCCAGACTAAGTGATCCAGACTAAGTGATCCAGACTAGCTGATCCAGACTAGCTGATCCAGACTAACTGATCAAAACAAACTGATCAAAACAAACTGATCAAAACGAACTGATCAAAACAAACTGATCCAGACTAAGTGATCCAGACTAACTGATCAAAACAAAACTGATCAAACAAACTGATCAAAACAAACTGATCCAAACTAAGTGATCCAGAGACTAAGTGATCCAGACTAAGTGATCCAGACTAGCTGATCCAGACTAGCTGATCAGACTAACTGATCAAAAACAAACTGATCAAAACAAACTGATCTAAACGAACTGATCAAAACAAACTGATCCAGACTAAGTGATCCAGACTAACTGATCAAAAACAAACTGATCAAACGAACTGATCAAAACAAACTGATCAAAACAAACTGACCCAGACTA